CTTTTTCTGACACCTAAAGCATTGTTCCCAGTCTAGCTGCTACCTTTTGATTGTGTACCAGTGACAAGCACTTTACAAATTGGGGTTACACACAAGCAAAGTAAAAATGCATTCAGGTCACAGACAGAGAATAACTGAAAAACTTACAGACAAATCTGAGTTTATCACAAACAAATGGCTTAATTGTCTAACCTGTTTTAGGCTGATAAAAAGTGACTGGACTTCTCACACTGGGTTTCACAGACAGAATCAACAGACAAGCCAATGCTAAAAAACTTGAAGCAAGGAGAGTGAGTTGGTTTGGATCTGGATTTTCTTGAAATAATGAAAACAGAAAGAGTGAAGACAGCATGGCGAGGAGGTGGTAGGTACTCACGAATGGTTAAATCCATCACTTGGGAGGCCAAGCAGAAGACAGGATGCTCATACATTTCTCTCTTTTTCCCTATAAAAGAGGATTTGGGCATGCAAGAGGCTTAGGTCAGAGGTAAAGAGGTTAAAGGTCATAGGTTAGAGGAAAACGTTACATTAGCTCAAAGGAAAATAGCCACAGAGTATTTTGGGATAAACACAGGATAAAAGAAAAAGGAGCTTCAAAATTGGAGATCTACTGGATTAACCATTCAGCATGCCGTGAGTCACGAGAGAAATTGTGACCATGATTTTACACGTCTCTTTAGAATTGTTTGCAAGAATACAATGACCAAAAACATCATGGGTAAAGGGAAACAGAATTTCATTGATTTAAGGCTCCAAGATACTAAGGATTTCAGACTTTAGTATCTAAGGCTCTTGAGGTATTTCTTCATAAACATAGTCTCCAGCAATATTACTACAACTTCTTTCCAAAATTCTCAGGGAACTAAGCTGTTAATGCTCACAGAGGAGCTCAAATGCACAAATGGAAGATTTCTTTTCTGAGCATAGGATCAGAGCCTTGTAAAAGAAAGGTGTCTGGTAGTAATATCTTTTAAGCTGCAATGTGGACTATGTTCATGAAAGAAAACCTGATACATGCAGCCAGAGGATGTTGGGTTGTCTGAATTAACAATCCCAGCATGCTTTGAAATTGGTGTCACAGCCACTTTTGCAGAGTAACATCAAAAAGTGGCTGAGCCAATCACGGACAAGGAAGGAGAGAAGCGGAAGAGAGCAGGTAGTGTGGAATGAGGTACTTCTCTGAAAAGAGAGTTGGAAAAAAAAGATTGGTTTCTTCAAAGAATCCCCAGACCTAAAAGTCACAGTGCAAAAGATAATTAACACAACCAAGAAGAATTGAGGCACAAAAGGAAATTACAGACTAGCTGATCTACTTTGGAAATGAATGCATTTTTACTTACAGATCTTAAAGTTTGTTTTTGGATATATTTATCTGAAAGAAGAGAGCAGATCTTACCAAAAGACTAATAATAGCTAGACCAAGACCTACGAGGCAGCAGCCATGGCAACCGAACGTTTCTTGATTCCATCCCATCTCTGGCCTTGCCTAGAATTATTAGGTACCCGGTTGACTTTACCAAATACAACCAATCATTATGTCCTGGGAAGGTAAATGCTGGAACAATTATTTGCTAATATATCCCTTTAACGATCTTCTTGTTCCTCTATTTTTGTCACTCATTACCAAGTCAAGAGTTGATAAACATCCTTTTAGTGCCCAATTCTTAAGTGTTTCTCCCTGGATGCATAACAATGAATTCATTACCACTGGTACACAATTTGCATTGTCAGACAGACAAAATTGAAAGAGGGAGGACATGTAATGTACAGAACACTGAGAATTTGACATGATCTTAACCTAATTCTCTAAGGAAACAAGGACTTTGGCAGAGTAAGTGATGGGGTTTTGGTGGTGGTTAGGTCTTTTTTTTTCCCAGTCATGTCCTGAAGGCAGACAATGGGCATTTGCTGGTTCGAGTCAGGTGTTTCACATGTGAGAGAACATCGGATTCCAGAATGCGGACACACTGAGTTTTGCACACAAAACTTCCACATTTATACACTTACACCACTGGTCATGTTGGGTGTGGTTTTCAAATCACCCTATAGCAGCCAACAGGGTAACAATGAAAAGTGATTAATACCTTTGCAGATGAATAGGTCCCAAAGAACCATACCTCCTCAAGTAGAGTTTACTCAAAGTGTCTTTTGGGTGATTACTTGGTCATCAGTGACCCCTTCCCTAATACTTGAGAGGGCAGTGGTAACAACCATCCTATGACTAGAGTAACAAGAGTGAATGAGATCTAAAGCAAACCAGGAGCCATCAGAGTCAGGGGGACATTAACCTGCCATCAAGTTTGAAACGCTACCAGAAGACAAGATACTTTCAAGGGGCAAGAAAGAGTTAAGAAAAATCTTGACGTTGCTTTATTCAACTCTTGTTTTACTTCCAATGCTAGCAACAGTGGACCACAAACTGCTTTGTTTTCCTCTATTTAAAGAAGGTAGCAATTCTGCAGAACTCTTTCATAGGAAAACATTAGCCACAGAGCAAACTTAGAGCCAACACAGACTCTCAGAAGGAGGTTAGTTATCTGATAACATCCTATATTCAATACTCTTCCCCCACAAAGACTTTCCTGAGCCCCTGTTCTTTCATGGATTAATTTGGCCACAGCCAAGGAAGCTTTCACATTTCAAGAGCTTTCAAGTTTCCACTTAACATATTCAGATGGACCACTGTTTTCTGGTGCCCATCAGGAAAGAGAGAGACTTCCCCAGGGAGGTATACCAAAACTTAAATGAAAAATCGGGGGCAGAAGGGAGCCTTACCTTCGATTTTGGCATACTCTGACAGCCGAGAATAGTTGACTAAGGCAGCCTGCTCTAGACATTTACGGATGACTGTTTTTACCTCCTCTTGTGGCACGGGGGTAACAATATCTTTCATCAAAACCTTTAGGTGGAAAAAAAGATTATTAAGATAGCTCAACCAAAGGTGTTACTCATTTATCCATCTTAAGAGCTCAAGCTTAAAATTGGTTGTGAATGCCTCCTTGTGACGTAATATTGACCAAGAGCCATCGTTAAAGAGAAAACACAGAAAACTGCAAAGCACAGTTAGGATGGCAAACCTTGTTCATGAGTCAGGGATGGGTGAGGAGCGTATCTTCAATATCGCCTAAGTTTTAGGGAGTCTGGAGAGAAATTATCTAGAATTTTGGCAGTTTCTTCACGTTTATTCTGATATTTGATGAATGGTAACAAAGCCTTAAAGAATTCTCAAGTAGGTCATTTAACCACACTATTTCATTACCATTATGTTCATGTCTTGGCATCTATGTAATCTTTTACTTCCATTCTTACCCTTTCCAAGAGTGAGAGAGTAGCTTTCAAAGCACCTTCAGGTCGACCAAATGGAAAGCAATACCTAAAAAAGACAGAAAATTCTTCAGGTTGCCCAAATCGATTACATTTTAGCATGAAATATGCTGCAGTTTGATTCCTATAGCAACTCCCTCTGAGGAACAGAAAATGCTTTTTATTTTGTCACGTTGTGTTATGTTAATCTGAGTTCACACCATATATGTGTGTATATAATGTATATATGTGTATGTGTGAATAATGACTAAAGAGAGACTCTGCAAACGTCTGCAGCAGCAAAGAATATTTAGAGTCATGACATAAGGCTCTGTTTAGATTTCTATTGTGGAGAAGAACCATTCCCTAGCTGAAATGTGACCTTATGTATTATTATAGAGATCATCATTAAAAAAATATTAGTTGAAACAGGCTAAAATTACCTAAGACACTGACTTAAATCCCCAAAGGATTAATACAGGAAATAAAGGGTGTATTTTGAGCAAATTCATGATTCTGCTAACTGTCCTTCCTTGATAGTGGTAATTGCTGTTGTATCTTTTGTTAGTGGCAATGCATCTTGCATATAGTGTATGAGCAATAAAGATTTATCCAGGAAGATTGTGATGACACAGATAGAACTATGTCAGGTACCACCAAGAATTCTACTGACTGTCTCAGGCTGTCACAAGCCCTTGGGGATGCTGTTCCTTGTGATACAGAGGGACCAGCAGGGGCTACTTAAACTCAGACAATCCTATGTATTTGTCCTACTTCTTCCACTTGCCGGCTGGGTGGCCTGGGGCAAGTTCCTTACCTCTCTCAGACTCAGTTTATTCCTTGTTTAAATGGGGATTATAATAACTACCTTACCAAATTGTTTTGAGAATAAACAAGTGAGTTAATGCTTATCCAGCCTCTAGTGTGGCACATAGAAAGTATTTAATAAAAAGGAACTATTTATTTTGCTATTATAAATGCTCTTACTATCTTTGAATTACTATTTTAGTATCACTGGTCCAGAACCACCAGAGTAGCATGAGAAATGTCTAATGCGCTCCAAGGCAGAAGTGGGCTACGTGGTGCAAGGCTCAAACATCAGCCCTGCTGCCTGTGTCGCGTGTGTGGGGAAGAGTCAATGTGCCAAGGCTGGTCCAAGTTTTTCTTTCTCTGTGTTGCCAGCTCGGCCTGTTTCTGAGGTAACAGAGAAGGTGGAGGCTCTCCTGTGAGGACTACTGCCTCCTTCCCTGTTCATGTGATCTGATTCACAGGACTTTTCAATATTTTACTTAGGAATCTTGAAGTAGCTTCAATTCAACTTTTCAATATATTTTTAAAAAATAAATTGATGACCAGGGTCATCTTGCATAAAAGCAGGGCTTTGTTCTTTTAGAGAAATAAAAGGAACTTAGGATTTCAAAGTCTGCTAGCTATTGTGGAAGCCTGTCCTATTAGTTTGCTTTTCCATTCAGTTATTTCTAAATATCCAATGCATCTCTGATAGAGTCACAGTTTTAGAAAATCAAGCGTTTTATTTGTCCCTCCTCAGTCTTACCCTCCTAATTAGCCCCTCAACCCCAGGTCCTTACCTAAAATGTGTAATCTGATTCTCCAACAGAACTCGGAGTCTCTCTTTGATTTCTTCAAAACGTTCCTTTTCTTCAACAGTCACAGTTCCGATTCCATCGGGCCTGAAAGAAGACATGTCATGAAGTGACGGGAACCTCATATGCTGACACCATCAAATCAAATCTCTAGCAGGAGGAAACTGTCCATTGCAGAAAAACTACTACAATGATCGATATGACCTTAGGAGAAGTCCTGCTTTTCAGTGCCAGCTACTGAAGTGGATGGGGTATTTTGGGGTTATCGTTCAGAGACATTTGCAGAACTGTCGCTCATTTATTGTGAAATGGTAAAATGTACAAACTGGTGGCTTGCAGGTCCAGCTTCGAGACCTTCTGTTTGGCTCATTGCTTCTTAAAATTTTGAACTACTTGCCAACATTTTAAACATTAGGTAAGTTTTATAGTACAATTCTTTTGAAAATTTGGAACAACTGGCATTAATTGGCGAGAGTCATCTAACAGCTTCTTCCTCAGCTGGGGCAGGCACTCACCCGGTCCACATCTCTAATTTGCATTACCTATCTCTCTAATAGGCACTCAGGTTTGGGAGCCCTGAATTGTATGCACGAACTCCTAAGAAAACCAGGTGCCTTATAAGCACTTGTTTTTCCCAGTGTTAAATGTTCTTAAATGATTCAATTTCCAGCTTATAATTATATACGTTCAGATTAATGTAAGCACACATGTACTAAATGAAGAACAAATTACAAGACATTGTAAAAATTACAAGACATTGATGGAAGAAATTGAAGAAAACACAAATAAATGGAAAGATATCCTGTGTTCACAGATTAGAAGAATTAATATTGTTAAAATGTCCATATCACCCAAAGCCATCTATAGATTCAATGCAATCCCTATCAAAATTCCAATAGTATTTTTCACAGAAATAGAAAAAATAATACTAAAATTTGTATGGAACTAAAAAGACCCGAATAGCCAAAGCAATCCTCAGAAAGAAGAACAAAGCCGGAGGTGTCACAATTCCTGATTTCAAACTTTATTACAAAGCTATAGTGATCAAAACAGTATGGTACTGGCATAAAAACAGACACATAGACGAGAGAAACAATATCAAAAGCCCAGAAATAGATATTTACATGTGTTATATTTTCTTGTTGGATTGTTCCCTTTATCATAATGTAGTGCCCGTCTTTGTCTCTTATAACAGTTTTTGATAAATCAAAGTCTATTTTGTCTGATATAAGTATTGCTACCCCGCTTTCTTTTCTTTGCCATTTGCATGGAATATCTTTTTCTATCCTTTCACTTTCAGTTTGTGAGTGTCTGTAGGTCTGAAGTGTGTCTCTTGTATGCAGCATATACATGGATCTTGTTTTTTTATCCAGTTGGCCACCCTATGGCATTACTAACATGTGACAAGGGAGCCAAGAATATTCAATAGGGAAAGAATAGTCTCATGAATAAATGATGTTGTGAAAGCTGGATATTCACATGCAAAAGAATGAAACTGGACTCCTATCTTACACCACTCACAAAAATGAACTGGAAATGGATTGAAGACTTATATAAGACCTGAAACTGTAAAAATCCTAGAAGAAAACATAGGGAAAAAGCTCTTTGATATTGGTCTTGGCAATGATTTTTTCAGATATGACACCAAAAGCACAAGCAACAAAATAAAAAATAGGTGGGACTACATCAAACTAAAAAGCTTCTGCACAGCAAAATGAAAAGGCAACTTATGAAATGAGAGAAAATATTTGCAAACCATCTTTCTGATAAGGGATTAATACCAAAAATATAGAAGGAATTCATAAAATTCAATAACAAAAAAAACAAACAATTCAATTGAAAAATGGGCAGGGGACTTGAATAGATATTTTTCCAAAGAAGACATACAAATGGCCAACAGGTACATGAAAAGATGCTCAAAATCATTAACCATCAGGAAAATTGCAAGTCAAACCCACAATGAGATATCACCTCACACCTGACAGAATAGCTATCACCAAAAAGATAAGACAACAAGTGTTGGCAAGGATGTGGAGAAAAGGAAACCTTGTGCACTGTTGGTGGGAATGTAAACCAATATAGCCACTATGGAAAACAGTATTAATGTTCCTCAAAAAATTAAAAATAGAACTACTATATGATCCAGCAATTCCACTTCTGGGTAAATACCTCAAGGAAAGGAAGTCACTATCTTGAAGATATATCTGCAGCTCCACGTTCAGTGCAGCATTATCTACAATGGCCAAGACATGGAAACAAACTAAGTGTCCATCAACAGCTGAATAGATAAAGGAAATGTGATATATACATGATGGAACATTATTCAGCCATAAAAAGGAAGGAAATCCTGCCTTTTGTGACAACATGAGTGCTAAGTGAAATATGTTACAATGGCAAATACGGCATTAGGCTAAGTGAAATAAGTCAGAGAAAGAAAAATATGTTTTTTTTTGTATATGTTCTCACTTATATGTGGAATCTGAAAAAGTCAAACTCACAGAAATAGAGAGTAGAATGGTAGTTGTCAGGGCCTGAGGGGTGGGTGACATGGGGAGATGTTGACCAAAGGGTACAAACTTCCAGCTATAAGATGAGTAAGTTCTGGGAATCTAATGTACAGCATGGTGACAATAATGAATAGCACTGTATTATACCTGAAAGTTGTTAAGAGAGTAGATCTTAAATGTTATCACTATGCACAAAAAACAGTAATTATGTGAGGGCATGTAGGCATTACTAATCTTATTGTGGTCATCATTTCACAATATACACGTGTATAAAATCATGACATTGTAGACTTTAAACTTACATATGTTAAATGTCAATATCTCAATAAAGCTGGTGGAAAAAAAAGAACAAACCACATATGATGTTTTTCAATCTTAGTGAACTATTGCTCATTTTAATAAAAAGAAGGACCCTAGCATAAATAAGTGAATTTCAGTTTAATCACAGTATTCTCATACTTCTAATCACCATTAGGTTCACACCCATTTTCCCTAGTTGCTTTGAACCATTCAAGTCGAAAGTACAAAGGGAGGCTGCATATTTATGGCTCAAATTTATCTGTGCCAAATTAGGATAATCTGACCCATTCAAAGACTTCAGCTTCCCAGATCCCATAGTGGCTTGTTTTGACTACTGGCTGAGCCAGTTTGCAGATTGGTGCGTCACCATGAAACTTCTATTGGAACATTCTCCAGTTTGCAAATGCAAGTCATCTTGAGACCAAACAAATGGTCTTATTTATAGGCCTTCTCAAGGATCCAGCATAAGTTGGGAAAATCCTGTATACTAGACCAGTCTGACTGCACAAAAGACTTGGCAAATGATAGCAATGTACCTCCTGTTAGGGGTTAATTGGTCAGCTTCCCTTCCTTTTAAACATTAGAAGTGCCCTACTCTAAAAAAATGAGAAAACTTCCCCTCCTCCACTTTATAAAAAATACCCCTAAACAGTAAAATCCTATATAACCCATTTCTTCACACTCTCCTGAACTCAAAGGAAGTTTAAGAAGGCAGAATGGTAAATATCAGGTAGGCTGTTGGAATTTATGAATGTGCTCTTATTTTCAAATTTTCTGGAAAAATCTCCAATGTTAATTTACAAAGTTTATTAAAAAGATTTTTTTTATCACGAAATGTCCCTGAATCTGTAAATAAATCTCAGGATGAATTCATTGGCCCCCACAAAATACATGTGACACTTTCTATGATAAATTCTCATGTTTCTGTTATAAGCTACAACTTCCTCTAGCTCTGGCTTTCGGATTTTGTTTATACAAAATTCAGCTTGCTAATGCACTGAACACACATTTATAGGAATGCATGCACACACTCAATTTGGGAAAAAGGGAGCCATTTTAAGCATTTCGTTTCTTAGCAGGGACTTAACCCAGAGAAAAATGCTATTGAATATAAATTTAGAGAGGGCTTTATAGATCACAGGGAAAAGATCATTCAACATGGGCAGCCCAGAGCTGTCTGTGGCCATTAGTAGGAGATAAATCTCTCCAAAGAAAATCATTCATTCCTTGCCCAACAGCCTTCTAAAGCAATTACACAATTAGGAAGCAACTTTTAGATTTGTGTTTGAGATGATAAAAATGAAACATTTAGTATGTACCTGGCCTTCTTAGTTAATTCTCACTACAAACAGTATTATTACAAACGTACAATTTGATTATCTATTTTTCCTTTTGTTCTGATGATTCCTGTTTGTAATTATTAAAGGCATCAGACAGCAGCTCCCACTTCCCCCACAAGCCCGCCTTGGACTACCTTCTGAACACCATTAACCTCACCATTCAAAAACAAGTAAATGACTAAAAATTACTATTGCAGTCTTTTCTTAAATTTGCATCTTGATCGCCCATGTTAGTGTGAATAGTTTTATTTTAAAATAAGTGAAACTGACTTTACATCTATAAGGCACATAGTACAGAGTTCACCAACAAAAACAGGTGACAAAAAAAAAAAATCACAATTTTGACATTGAATGCAAATTTGTTTATAATCGCCAGAATTCCTCTGAAATGGTACTGGTAATGGGGGATGCTATTTCACAAACTGAGGAAGAGACAGACAGGAATAATAGTTTGTCAAAGATCACAGGTTGTAACAATATCAGTTAAAAGGCAAAAATATCCTTTTTTTGGTTTGATTTCACTTAATTAGTTTTGAAAATTTTGTCAATTTCTTTTCCACTGACCCCTATAATTTGTTAATGCTAATTGTACAGGTTTAGATAGATTTCTAGGAAGCTACTAACTGAAAAATCCTAGTTCAGTATTTTGGGGAGCATTGTTGTCATCACAGAAGCAATCAAATACTTTTCCCGGAGCAGTGGTTCTCAAATCAGAGCATGCCTCAGAATGACCTGGAGGGCTTGCCATGACCCAGATTGCTGGACCCACCCCAGAGTTTCTGATTCACCAGATCTGGGGTGGGGCCTGAGCATCTGTATTTCTGACAAATTTCCTGGTGCTGCTAGTTCTGCTGGTTCGGGGACAATACTTAGAGAACCACTGCCCTAGCGCAAGAAAATATTTGGTGGGGGGCTCTTACAGTGGCTGAAAGGGTCTGTTTGGTTCAGCGTTCCCAATTTCCCTCGGATTGGAGTGAATTTGCAACCAGACATCTTCTCCAAGTCTATGGTCCACTTATAAAGCTAGCAATCCCTTCCAAAAGTGGTGTTTGCACTGTTTCCAAGGTGCCATTCCAAGCAGTGCTGGTTGCAAAATAAATACAAGAACTGTACTGGTGTCGCTCAGAAGCCATACTTTTGCTTTTGTTTTTTTTTTTTTTCCTGGAAACATTTAGGGGTGATTCTATAATTGTCATAAAACTGGCTCTGCATCTTGTTCCTTTCTCAATACTTTTAACACTTCAGGAGTCACAAGGAACTGAGAGAAGAGGAGGGAGGAAGCTGGATTTTAAATTCCTAGCTAGTAAATCCTAGGCTGAGCTGAGCCTTTACTCAGAACATGTGTAGGAGCCTGAACCCCCTATCCTTTCGTGTCCCGACTGGTGCATTTTCTGCCCTCTTGTTTTCTGGCTTCTTGGCATCCACTGCCACTTCCTAACAGCACCTGAATATCGTTTGGAGGAATGACCTTGGCCACATTGTTGGCCACATTGTGGGTTCTCTTGGGGGAAGGTAAATTCAGGTGACTATTTTCCCTCTGTTAATGCTGAAGGGTTTCCTACAGACCAGCTCCTCCCTTTCATGGTCACTGTAAATCTAAGCTGGACTATGACCTAAGCTCAGCCAACTGAACACTCTTTTCCAGAAGCTTTGTGTGGAGTATGTGATGCAGGGATAGAAGAAACAGGTGGAATTTGCTCGCCCCTGTGGCTCTGCCCTGACCAGATTGTCCTCCCAGGTCAGTAGTTCTCAATCTTTGGCTGTACATTAGAATCCTGGCAGAGCTTTGAGAGGTCCCCTCCTCAAGCTCTGATTCAATTTGTCTGCAGTGGGGCCTAGACCCTGTCATGTTTAAGGCTCCCCAGGTTACTCTAATATGCAGTTAAGGATCGAGAAGTGCTGCTGTGGTCCTGTTTCCTACTTTTCTGTAGCTGCCTTGATTCCAATTTTCCCCTCCCTGTCTTTGAGGCTCCCAGCATCATCCCACTAAACTCCCTTTTGCTTAGATGATCTGGAGTTAGTTTTTGTTACTTGTAATGAACTGATGTAAGTTCATAGGCACATATCCCTCCTTTCCCACGCTCCCAATTTCAGTAGAAGTGGCGATGGCTTTAAACCTAGCTTTAGAAACACACACACACACACACTTGACAAGGAAATGCGGCCCCTGGTCTCTAGTTCCACCTAACTGCACACTGGCTAACAACTCACTTCTTGTATATCATGATCCCGAAAACTTGAGACAATATGCAGGTCAAGTGCAGTCATTTTTGGAGCCCTGCTGAAGACTGGAAGCTCTCCCACCTGCAGGCCATCATGGGAGCCAGAAGTGGGTCTCTTCGGCCACAAGAGACTATATTGCATCTGACACAGCAGGCAGCTCTGGAATCCACCTTTCAAGTTTTCGGCAAACCATTTTCTCACTGTCCTTCACAAAGTTGACATTTTCGGCAGCATGATAGGAAAGATGTCATGTCGGCTGCTCTTCAAGTTCTTGTCACAGTGGTTAGCACCAGTTCTGTCATCTTTACTCTCCTCACAGTCTCCCATCTTGAGCCATGTCACAAATAATAATATATCTAGAGTTGTTTTTCTTTTTTTTTTTGTCAGATTGAAACTACCATAACCCAGTCGCCCAACCCTTAAGTTACTAGTTATGCAAATTGTTCTTCCTTTCTTCAAATGCTTCTGAGCTAGACCTTATTGATTACTGTCTATTTTAGGATTAATCCAATATAATTAATTACTAGGCTTTTAGTGTGAAACATCTTATTTTGATATTTGAAATTAAATGTGAAGAATCTGGTCAAAGAAATTAAGCTGCTATGTGTTTTGTGAAAGTGAATTTATCTCTTTGAGGTCGTTAAATTGTTCCTACACACCCAGATGAGCACACAGTTTCCTAGAATTTAATCATCCTGCTAGCACAGTTTTCCATGTTATGTTGAAAGCTGGGCCACAAAACCCTCCTTTGGAAGATAAGAGATCTTTTCAAGAAGGTCAGGTTGCTAAATTAATTCAAAGGTTGTAATGATTGATGTGTTCTGATATTGCATTTATTTGGTGATCAAGTGCAGAATCCAGGTGCAAAAAAAAAAATTATGGATTCAATAAAAGAGGAAAGACTGTCTAGTCCACTTCTATGCATACAGCTAGCTTTAAGCTCCAATCACTACCAACAAGGGGTAAAACTCCAGCTGAAGTGGGAATATACTCTCTCTCCAAATGCAAATGTCCACATATGCCGGTACAGGCACCGTAAACATGATATATTCTCTCTCTCCAAATGGATGCATGCCTGCAGACCGCATTATGGATCCACGAAAATGTCCTTAAACAAGCATGATAACTGAATCCTACTTGCTACTAAATTGTTCCAGCCCAGAAACACGAGAGCTTAAAGGGCCAGAGTGGGACAGAATATCTTAGATGTTCCTTGCAATGTTCCCTAAATAGAACATTTACACCAAACACACTCTCTTAACCTCTCTCTCTTTTTTAACTGGCTTCTCCTAGCAATTCTTTATCTTGACAACTTTTAGAACGACACCTTTGAATTTAATTCTATTAAATTCAAAGTATTTCCCTTTGTCTCTTTCACTGGTTAATAACTACAAATTCAAGATAGCACCAAAGCATTATCGTCTCAAAAAGAGACATCTCTGCTTGCTCATCTGGATGGTTGGTATAATCTCTAGGTTAATTATAAATTGTAATTAGGACTCTCACATCCCATAGTCACTGCTTCATTAGGAAAGCCCAGTCTTAGCCTTTCCTTCTCTCGCTCCAGCCCATGGCCTTTTCTAATTATGCCCTGATGCCCTGGGGCTCAGACACGCTGCTAAAACAAATCTATCAAAGTGTTTGTATCACAAAGAGTAGGATTGGAAGCAACAACAAGCAGTTTCCACCACATTACAAATGTGCATTGGAGCTTCTTGAGGTTGGCTATTAGTCCATTTGGAAAAGAGGCTCGGAGAAGGCAAAAATATACCAGTGAGGTCTTTTCTGACTTGTTTATTATTTTTCTAAATATGTAGCTATAACCCAACAATATCAGAAGGTGTCTTCACTCTGTTATAAGGATGGGAGTGATTGAGAAGTCTCTCCCTACTGAACAATCTCAAAGATATAGATTCTATTGACATAAGGCCATTAGTCAAAGTGGCTCAGTCTTGGTCCTGGTGCTGAATGAAGCGAGAACCTAACAGTGATTAGAGAAATGGTACAAAATGCATGCACTGCAGGAAAGCATATATTTCTTTCCCCAGAGAAGGACCAATTTCCAAAATTGGTACTACATAGATTTTTCTCTTTGAGGAATAAGAGGAGACGAGATGGGTTCCTTTACTTCCAGACAAACACAGAAAGTTAGGCTTTAGATGCCACCCTGAACACCATATTTTAGACTTCCAAGTGGTCAGGCCACTCAGAAGTAAGGTTTTTTGGTATCATGCCCATCCTGAAAAGGGTATGACATCTGAAAATACATTTTTGCACCAGTTGAATCCAATGACCACAGGATGAGGACACACTGTGGAAATTTTAAAAGGAAATGCACGTTACTTGATGGTTTGTTGTGGACCAGAAAGACTACACCAATGGGAGAGATAATTGAGCACATTTTACAAGATTGTACGTCTGAGTTGAAAAATCTGTTGTTCTCATGAAGCAAATTTCCTTCAAGAAGACAGTCACATGGGTTAAAAGTTAGAATACAAGTTCTGAAGGGAATTTTTCCTTGGGATGCAGACTTTTACTTAAAATGTGTTTGGACTTTCCCTTCTTCTCTTTCTTACTTCTCATTAGGTGAAGCTGGTTCTTTAGAATTTAGGGAGCATGATTCAGCCATATGGAGGCCAACACCTGCTCAGAGCTAGAAGGCCAACCAGCCATGTGCTCACGTCCACAACTGCAATAATGTCTTGTATCAGTGTGTAACATGAGACCAAGAATGTGGGGGTCACTGTCATCTCCCATCCATGCCTGCCTGCTACTAAAGCGCTGTATACAGAGGTCAGTAAAACAGAGCTATCCCTGCTACACAGGTTTTTTTCCTCTCTCTTTTGGGGAGGAAGAGTTAAAAAGCACCAGACATAATGTCATAATGAGTGTATGTGTGTGTGGCAGAGACAGAGGGAGAGAGGGAGGGAAGGTGGGATGGGAAAGAGGGAGAGAAAGAGGTGAAAGGTGAGACTGGAATGAAAGGAAAAAAATATACATATGCAAAAATTAGTCATTTACTTCCAGGTAAGCATTCATAAAAGAGAAATAAAAGAAACCATTATGTGACATGGATTGGGGATGAGGGACCAACATTGGAAGCAGAGATGTAGTCAATAAGGCAATAGCTGTGGTCTTGGGGAGAGAAGATAGAGATCTGAACTTTGGTAGTGGTATTGAAGAGAGGGACAAGGGATGGACTTGAGAGATACTTAAGGGCATTGATACAGCACAGTCATTGAATCCTTGCGATGTGCTGAGAAAGAAGGAGGAGTCAAGGGCAGCTCCCAAGGTTTTATCTTGGGCAACTGGGTAGATGGAAATACTTATGACTTAGGGACCCTGGTGGAGTAACAGAGAACAGTGGGTTCCATCTGATAGTTCAGTTACTCAAATCTAATCCACAGGGATCACATGGTTTCTTGCACACAAGCAGCACCTTGGCTCCAAACACATCTCCCAAAAGAATTCTTGGACACATTTTCAGAGATTTTTAGGACTCATGCCCTCTTACATCTGCTTGCAGACTCATTAATCTATGCAGCTTACTTTGGATTGGGGCGGTTGGCATTATGGATTTGTTAATTGCTGATACAATGTACTTTCTACACAGGCCATATGTGAAGAGCAGCACTGGCATTCAAGAAATGTTAAATAATAATGTAAATGAGAAAAATTTCCAATCCCAATAATAAAGGATCCAAGGAACATTGACGCAACTTGCAATCATCAGAGCTGTTTGATCGCCTTGTCACTGTGGGATAGTGACCAAAGTGATGCTAATCTAAATGTCATCTAGAAAGAATGCTAAAAATATTGTGGTGAAAATTAAGTACTGCAACCTTAGGAGCTGATTTAAAAATTAGAAGATATAGCAATTTACATCTGTGGATTTTATGATCGCCAAGTGCAACCAGATGAACGTACTCACATTTTCCTTTTCTTTCCCTCTCTCTTTGAGAAAATGGGTTCAGTTTTAAAGAGCTGGCTCAAACTAATGTTCCCTCAATCAGTGGTTCTTAAACATTGTTACATTTTAGAATCACTTGAGGAGATTTTTAAAACATAATACTTAGGCCATATCCCAGATTAACTAAATCAGAACCCCTGCAGGAGCCAAGACATCAGCATTTTTCAGGCTCTCCAAGTGATTCCAATCTGCACCAAGTTTGACAACCAAGGTGTTAAATAAGTGGGATCTGAAGATCAAATGCCTTAGAATTACCTGGAAGGAACAGATTAAAAGTGCAGCCCAGCTCCATCTAAGACTGGCTGAATAAAATTATTTGATGATGGAGCCTCCTACTCTCCATTTTAACAAACTCCCCGTGTGATTTATATGCACACTAGAGTGTGAGAACTACTGCACAAGTTGAAAGTCAGTGGTGCTAACTGTTATGCCTTTAGACCCAGAATAAGTCTGTGTAAAAGACAAAAAAAAAAAAAAAATCCAAGTAAAAGGGAGAAATTTCAGCCCATCATTTGGGACTTTGGTTTTGGGGGCTTTGTTTGCACGTGGCTGTCCTCTGCATTGTAGGAAATTCAGAAACATTTCTAGCCTCTACCCACTAGATGACAATAGGACTATCCTTCCCCAGTATGACAATCAAAAATGTCTCCAGATATTGCCAAATGTCCCTTAGGGGAAAAGATCACCATTAGTCAAGAACCACTATTCTAAAAGACGCCAAACATGTGGATGGTTCTGTGTCTTTAAGTACTTGGAATTATGCCAGCAAACATCTTCCTGATTGACCAGATGTGTCTACTTTTGATTAGGCGTTTTGGATTCACATAGGCATAGTTTTTCACAGAGATGTGGCACAGGCTTCCAGAGAAGGTGGGGGAAACTGGGTCATCAGCATCTGAGCGGTCACTAACGATTTCCAGCTGCAGCAGAGCAGGGCTCTGCCTCCACCTCTGGAGCTGCTGAGTTATTAATAGGTAAAAAATTAATAAATTAGGTAAAAACCTATTTTTTTAACCTAATCTGAAGCTGGTTGTGAGATGACAATAGGAATGGGCTCTATCATTCAGTTAAATTTAGGTTAAAGGGTGGAATTTTGTTTCCATGAGTCATGAATTCCTTAATAATTTGGGTCAAAGAATAGATAATGTCTCCACATGAAAATAGTGTTTATTCTGGTGAAAGAGGTTAGGAAAATGGTTTGTCCAATACCAAAAGGCTGTTAGTGTTCAAAGGAGACTCTTCCCTCAGTGGTCTAAATCTCCAGATAGACTATGGGTTCCTCTACAAGGCCAAAATTACCAGGAGGGCCAAACTGATTTTGGACATTGTTAGGACAAAAATGGAAAACTTTTTAATTAATTCAGATGACTGCTATAGTATTTCACCTTGAAATGTTGAAATTCGTATCAAATGGCTGAATCTGGCCTCTCACATCATACACAAGTGCTACTATTGGTCAGGCAGTAAGGCAGAGAGGTTGTGAATCTAAGCTCCAAAGTCAGAATCTCCATGTTTGAATTAGGCTCACACACTTATTTGCTATGGAGCAAGTGACTGAACTTACCTGAGCCTCAAACTACTCATCTGTTAGATGAGGATAATAATACTTATCTCATAGAGATGTAATAAGGATAAAATGAGAGAATATACGTAAACATCACTTCACACAATGCCTGGCATATAGCAAGCACTTATTAAATGGTAGTGATTATCTTTATTTTAATTAAACTTTACGAAATCTGACAACGGATGATTTCATTTGTTATTATAACCCATAGAAGATAATTTCTGATGTTGATGGAATATTAAAGATGTTATGATTCTATGTGCCCATTTTGCAGATGAGAAAATTGAGGCCCAGAAATGAGATATGATAATCCTAGATTTATGCAGAATAGGCTCTAATACTCAGATCTTTAGAATCTACGTATAGCGCAGATATAGTGCAAAGAGGAAGAGCTTTGGACTCAGAATATCTGGGTTTGCCACTTAAATGTACAGATATTCAGTTTCATTATCTGCCAAATGGATATAAAAATAGGTAACCTGAAAATGTTATAGCAAATGAGACAGACGATATGAAAGCACTTTGTAAACTGCAGAATGCTCCACAACTGATACTTAATATTATGATTTCTTCTTCATTAAAAAAATTCAACGCAAATAGACCCAGAAACACACATAATCCTCTCAAAGTACCATTCAAAATCCTTTTGGATAGTTTTTCAGGCACAGGAAATAGGTCAGGCTTGATCAAGTGTGGCCATTTACTCTCTGCTCTGTTTCAATGCCAATCACACCAAAAGCAGCACCTTGGACAGCAGCCAGAGAGGCTTCCTTCCGGCGCCTATGACATTCTCTCCCTACTTTCTTACTGGCTGCCAGTAACCGTTGCCTTGTAGTCTGACCCTCACAGGGAAACACAAACAGAAACTCCACTTCATCTTCATCTTTACATACTCCAGGCTCAGAAGATGGTTGTGCACATAGAATCAGGGTTTTCTTTGACCTTCACTGTTCGACCTGTATACACTGACAGCCTGCCACATTCCCTAGGAAGTGAAAGCTGGCATTTTCATTTGGTCTCCCCGCAAGTGAACTCCGTATATTTCAGAACTTAGAAATATTCCAGTGAATAAATTCATATTGAAGCATAAAGCATACCTGCTTGTGAACTTTGTGTAGCTTGACAATGCCAGGTCAGAGCATCAGTTTCAAAACCTCAACAACAAAACTTTAAAATGTCAATGTTAATTTGGGGCAAGAGTAGGGAAGATGAAGAAAGACATAAGGATAACATTAGAGGTAATTGTAAATCTAGTTTAAAACGGAAAAAAGCCACCAATTTGCCATTTTATCAATTCCTGAAGACAGCATTCTCAAAAGACCCAGGAAACAGGAGAGGATAAACATAATATTAGAACTTAAAAGAGGCTTCAAAGTGACCTCATTACGTAAGTGATTCTGTGAGGAGCCACGAATTTAGTGATAGGCTTTATTTTGTGTCTTTGTTATAAATCATTATTTGAAGATAGATTTCTTTCATGAGATAAATGTGGAACTGAGGGGGATTTGCTGAAAACGATGAAGTTACTATAAATGTATAGACTCATCTATGCCAACCCATTTTATTTGCTCTTTAAACATAATTTCAAAATTATAAAGCACAGGTTGCTTATTATGAATGACTTGGTAAGGTACCAGGCTCCTCACTAGATGCCACTAAAAAAAGCAATCTGACTCATGATTCTATTTACATACTGCTCAATTAGTTTTTTCAATATGAACATGTTTTAAGAGTCACTAGACACCTGACTCAAATTCAGTCCTAATACATGGTATTTTTGCCCATTGCTAGGATTTTTTTTTAAAGTGTGCCATTGAAAAACCTTAAAGAAGCAGAGACTCCAAAGCTTGCTGTTTGTTAAAGTGGAAGTTGTGGTCTGGATGAGGGGATAAGGCAAGGAAGGTCACAGACATTGAAAAACACAAGCCAATATACACGTAACTTCTTACCTTTTGGGCTCTGGATTTGCCTGGGTTTTGAAATCTTTTCTTTTTTTGGATTCCTTTTTGGTATCTTTTTTAGCCTCTGGTTCAGATGGGGAGGGAGTTTTGTTCCCTTCAGGGTCTGTATTTGGTGGCAGCCCACTAAGGTACACATGCATTTGTTGACTTTGGAGAGGGGGTGGTCGCATGGGGCATGCAGAGAGTGTGGCCAGCCATGGGAGAATCAAGAGCACACATACATGCACAAACAAAAGAAAGAAAAAGAAGGATGCATCAAACAGCAAAAGCAAATGCACTCAAACTAAAATAATAAGCAAAAAAAAAAAAAAAAAGATGCAAACTTGCATAAGGAAAATCAGAACTGAAAAGAAAATAAGAAATCCAAAACTGTTTCCATGACAAGATGTATAAACCTAACTGTGAATCAAGTGGCAGTCTTACAATATGAAATCCAGACAATGTGTATCATAATTCATGATGATGTTTACCAGGGAGTTTACAAAAACACTTCATTATTTTATAACACTTTCTTATTCAGTAACATATGTAGAATACAGTGTGACAACCCAGAGAATATAATGCAACTTCTCTCTCTCTCTCTTTAAAGAATTCAGTCCAAGAGGCTGTAACAGATAGTCATCAAAGTGTACATATTTATAAAAAGCAGAATTATGCACAGATACTCCCCAGGTATTAGAGTTTTCATGAGTATCTTTTATGCAAATAAAAGGTCATGTGCTGGGGTAGTGAACCTTATAACAATGGGAGGTGATGAAAACCTTGTTGCCTGATAAATATTCAAACCTACAATGCTATTATTATCTAGCTCTAAATGTTGAAGTTGCATTTCATAACATCCACCAGCACTAGAGAGAGGAAAAGCACAGAACAAATCCCACAGATATTTCAGAGTTGTATAGCTTGTAAAGGTGAAGATGACTGACACAATTCTGATTTAAAATAAATGTAATCAATTCTGGATTCTCCCACATGTGAATTTGTCCAGAGTAGCAACTTTTGCATCAAAGGCTGGGTTTCCGAAGCCACTTGGTTTTTGCTGGGTGTGCCTTCTCTGGTTATTGGTTCGGGTGCTCTGGGGTAATGTAGGCTCGTCTTTATAGTAATGGGAGGCTGTATTCATTGGGGATAGTAAACTGGCTGCGGCAGTGTGGAAATTTATTCCATGTCTTCAGAGCCAAATGATAATGTTCCTAAATTATTTGCTGCTTTGCATTATTCAGAACATGGATCTTTTCCTCCAGGAGCTGGGCAAAGTCTAAAGAGAGTACTTAGTACAGAGTTAGGAGAACTGATGTTCTGGTCTTGTCTATAAAATTTATAAAACGATGGGGTTGATTACACTGTGATCTCTGAAGTTCTTTCCAGCTCTATGGTTAAAAGATAAGTGTTATGATTATCTTTGCCTTCCAGCTTCACCTAGCCTGTTTCAGCTCTTAAAATGTACTTGGCTTCCTCCCTCTGCAGGGCATTTGTACATGCTGCTCCTTTTGCCTGGAACCACTCAACTCCTACACATGCTTCAGTTCCCAGCCCAATCATCACTTCCTCAGGGAGGCCCTCCCTCCATTCTGCCACCCCATCTGAGTCCTGTTCCTTTATTAAACGCTATCATGGAATTGTTTCCTTTTCCTCAGAGCCCCAATCTCTATGGTGCTCTGCCTTTGTTTGGGGCCTAGTGTTTGCTCACCACGTATGCTGAATGTGTACTAGGGTGCCTGACACTCAGGATGTAATCATTACATATTTATGGAATGAATAATAATAACAACAAAGGCAAGCATTTATCAAGCTTCTGCCATGGTCCAGGTATTGTGCTGAACCCTTTAATCCTCTCAAAAACCTCATGAAGACACTATCGTCCCTGTTTTACAGATGAGAATACTGTGGCACAGAGTGTTTAATTACCATCTAGGCTCGTTGCTAGTAAATAGAGGAGCCATGAGTTAAACTTAGATTGCTCTAACTTCAGAGATCACTCTAGAAGTCCTGTTTGCCATTTCTTTTAAAAGGAGAAGAAATTAATTTAGGCCTTTGTGCTCTTTGTGTTTGTGTGGCTGCTGTGTGTGTGTGCGTGTGTGTGTGTGTATTACTGAAGGAATGGGAATGGACAGAGAGTTAGAGATGATCCTAAAAGCACGGCCAGTCATAAAACCATTGCCAATGCGTTAAAAACAATTTTTTTGAGGACTACCTCCAGACATGTGCTTACCTGTTCCCGTGGACATGGGATGCACAGAAGGCAAAGCTATAGTGAAGGAGGGTGGGGTCAATCATGGCGCCGTTTTCTGCCCGTTCAAGCAAATCTCTGAGGTAGCAGAGATGTCGGTGACACCCTCGGACTCCATTTCGGGCGCAGTACTCGTCGAGTACAAACACCTGGCCAGGACTGAACCAGCCCTGTTGGGGGAATAAAGGAGAGACTTTCTTTTAAATACGGGCTGTTTTTTGGAGAGCTGCTAGGGTTGAGGGTGTGTGACTGAAGAAGGCGGTTAAAAAGCAGCCAGAGCGAACACTTACTGATTGCTTCTTAAGTGCGAGCCACTGTGCTACACGCATTGTGTGCGCTATCTGGTTTAACACTCATAATAGCCCTCTGAGGTGGGTACTGTTATCCCTATTTGATAGATGGGAAAATCGAGCTCAGGGAGGACATGGGATTTCCCTAGTAGCCCAGAGCTAGTAAGTGGTAGAGTCTGGTTTAGCAGACTCCATGATTCCAGAAGCAGAATCTCACTCCCTGCTCTAACACTGAACCACCTTTACAAAGTATTGGAGTGGGCAGGGCAAAATCTTAGTTACTGATGAGAGAAAAGAATAACATTAATGCCTTAAACTGGTGTAGTGCTTTACACTCCACAAAGAGCTTTAGGTTGAGCCCCATAGCAACCTTGTGAAGTCACCAGGGCAGGTTTATCTTCACTTCACAGATGAGGAAATGAAATCCGGACTGTTATGAGACTCACAGATAATGCAAAACACAGGCAGGACTCAAACCCAACTCTGCCTTCCTTCAGGTCTTCTGTTTTTTTCTACTCTGGAGCATTAAGAGATATTAGGATTGGCCTACATACATTCTAGGATTTCATAAATCCTTTCACTTTCGAAGAAAAAATTTTTTAAATTTTAAAATGGCGATAATAACATAACTTTCCAAGGAGAACAACGTGACTCAGTTTTCAAGTTGTGAATCAGATACGATTCAACAAAACCGACAGGAGCTTCTTGTGCCCTGGTTTAGCATTTTATTTTTCTCTTGGCAATTATTTGTTTTCTTATTATTTATTTGCCTGCTACAGGACCCGATGAAACTCTGCTATAAAAGAGAACCTGGGTGGAATCTCCGATTCAGAGCAGATTGGGAGGCTCGATGGGATAGAAACTGCTGCCTCCATTACGCACTTAAAAAAATAGATGCTCAGAAAGGCCAAGTGACTTGCCGGTCAAGGTCACCCTTGGGCCACGCCTGATGTCAAATCACTTCTTTTGGTTTCAGCGCCTTTCTGAAGCAAGAAATAGACCAATTTAGGTGGTACTTTGTAAGCTGGGAATTTAGGATGTGTTAAACACAAATTTAATTTTACTTTGAGGGTCTTCTCTGAGTCATCTTTTGAATATTGCTCCATCTTGGGAGAGAAAAGGCAAAACGAGAAAGTGACTGGGGGGCAGGTAGTGGCCACTGAAGTGCAGGGAGGGAGGCCTCTGAAAAACTCTAACCTCGTATTAGTGATCTGGGGAATCTTCGATTGACAACACGCAGCTCAGCAATGCATCCAGCGAAAGACGGCATCTTTCCTATTTCAAATTATAAGTTACTGCAGAGGGCGGGAGAGTAGTCGAGGCAGTGGGCTGCCCCTATAGGCAACTTCTTTGCCACTCCATCTGCTACCCCAAATGCTAAATCTTAGAAACAACACTGCTGTGAAAGATTAAAATATATTTTCTACGACTCAGATGACACCAAGTCTTTTGTAGATGCCAAAATAGCTGCTTTGAAAAGAGTTGAAGAAATATCAATTAGGAACTCAGTCGAAGACACAGAAAAATTTATGTATCCCTGCTGGTCGGTCTCCAAAACTAACTGAAAAAAAAATTGTAATAATGAGAAAATGGAATATATAGAGGCAGGAGATAAGGTCCTTTTAATTGCTGTTATTTTCTGAAATTTTCAGATGATGATTAATAGACGCAGGTATGCAAATGGGGAAAGAAACTATTTTATGCTATTTGTAATTAATTTTGGATTTTGGACGATATTTTTAAGCCTATACAAGACTAATAGGAAGCAAGCTTCAAAATTTACTTCTGGTTTAGTTTTTTAGAGGGCATTTACTAACTCTCCTTAGTGATGAATTTCTTAGTGAAAAAGAAAATTATTTTAAAAATGATGATGTGAGAAAAATCTTGAAAATAATATACCTCAAAAAACTCCTCAAGAGAATAGGAATTACGCATAAAAGGGAATGATTTAAGGTCAGAGACATATTCTTACAAGTTTAATGAATGCAATTTATAATTACGTGAATAATCACATAATCATAGGAAACACATTTGAGAAAAATTGCCTTGCAATGCAAGGTAAGCTTTTTTTTTTTAAGTCAAAGTGATGTGTTTCTTTCCAATTTGGCAAAGTTCAGATGCTTCTGATAAAGTGATTCTAAACCTGAGATAATCAATGAATCTTTTATGAGATGAAGATTAATAAATTATTCTACATAATACCGCTTCTGTTTTTAAGAATATTTTATCTACTATTTTTAATATTTTGGCTTCTGGTATATAAAAAGGAATTTAAAATAAAAATTAGTCAGAATAGATTTAGGATGTAGTAATGTCATTTAGAAAAGAAACAGATTTTCATTATATTTATGTTAATATCACTAATATGTTAACCATAGTTAATTATATAATATTAATAATACACAGATATCAGGGATGAAGCTTTTCCTCTGTGTAAAGTCATTTCCTCATTCTCCCCCACC